CAGAAATTTAAAATGAAAAATAAATGTAGATGGCAATTATTGAACTCTAACAGCTGATCTTAATAGAAGCTAACGCCTAACGATGATAATTCCTTAGGAATGAAGAACCATAGATGCCTTTTAGCAGAATAAAAGTGCCATTTTTATTATGAGTCAGGTCTAGCCTGCAGAAATTCTTCAGTGCGCGGTGGCTCACGCCTGTAATCCCAGCACTTCGGGAGGCCGAGGCGGGCGGATCACGAGGTCAAGAAATCGAGACCATCCTGGCCAACATGGGGAAAGCCTCTCTCTACTAAAAATGCAAAAATTAGCGGAGCGTTGTGGCACGCGCCTGTGGTCCCAGCTTCTCGGGAGGCTGAGGCGGAAGAATCACTTGAACCCAGGAGGCAGAGGTTGCAGTGAGCGGAGACTGCACCACTGCACTCCAGCCTGGCAACAGAGCAAGACTCCCTCTCGAAAAATAAAATGAAATAACTAAAATAGATTAACTTCCTCTAATTTACTTTGAAATTCCAAAAACACAGCAGCAGATGGCGCCATCACCTCATTCATGCCTGCTGATTCTGCTCATCATTTTGGTTAACTCGTGCCAGCCTAGCTCAGATCAAATATCACAGAGAATCTGTTTTTATCAGTTCTGTGCTTATTTACCGTACAAGGATCCCGACAGAGATTTAAGACCCATTATGATTTTATGGGTGAAGAAGCAAGCATAGAAAAAGAAACAATATATCTAAAGTCACACAGTCAATCAGTGTCAGATGTTGCATTTATTGGGTAGAAGGTAAACTCTGAAATTAGAAGCTCCACCAGTGACTTGAAGTTTTTCCTTCTTATGTAATTTAATTCATCTGGTCGGGCTGTTTCCTTTTTAAATTGATTGATTGATTGTTTGATTGATTTGAGATGGGATCTCACTCTGTTGCTCAGGCTGGAGTGCAGTGGCGCAATCTCAGCCCACTGCAGCCTCCACCTTCTGGGTTCAAGCAATTCTCTCACCTCAGCCTCTCGAGTAGCTGGGATTATAAGGCCTAGGGATGTGGATCACCGGAGGTCAGATGTTTGAGACCAGTCTGGCCAACATGGTGAAACCCCATCTCTACTAAAAATACAAAAATTAGCTGGGCATAGTGATCGCTCAAACTCTTGACCTCAGGTGATCCACCCACTTCAGCCTCCCAAAGTGCAGGAATTTATAGGCCTTAGCCACCACACCTGGCCTTCAACCTTTTTGTTTCACTAACATTTAATTAGGGATATTTTTCTCTGAATACACAGACTATCTCTTGCATTGTCTTGAAATACAAAGGGTATTGTTTTTCTAGTTTGTCAATGATTTGTGTAATTAATGTTTAATCATTTTATTTTAAACAAAAAGACAAGGAGAAAAATGATAATTAGACTAAATTTTATGTTTATTAACAATTTCTTTGACAACTTAGATAGTTAACTGTTTTCATGGGATTATGATTAAATACAGGGAGACAGTTATAGGAAATCAAAGTCATTTTGGGAAAGACTCTCCCATAGGGGGTCTGGCCGGATTTGATAGTAAAGATACCTTCTTATTACTGACTGCAATGTACTCCCCTCATTATTGTTCTCTTTCTATTTAGGTGACCGATCCTTCTTCCTGGATCCAATTTATCACTCTATGAGAAATTCCATGGTATCCTTTTGTAAGGGTGGAAAGATTCCTTTTCCTCACTCATTGCTAGGTTCATGGCACCTATAATAAAACACAGGTTAACAAGAGAATAGCATCCAGGTTTATTTAATAGCAGTTACCTGAATAAACAAGCCTTGTTAAGTTCCACTCAGCTTATTCCCATTAGATTATGCCCTTTTATTCTCCAGTCATACTTCTAGATGACTATCCACAAAAATATTTAGTTTTTGCCGGGCACAGTGGCTCATGCCTATAATCCCAGCACTTTGGGAGGCTGAGGCGGGCGGATCACCTGAGGTTAGGAGTTTGAGACCAGCCTGACCAATATGGTGAAACCCTGCTGGAAAAAAAAAAAAAGAAAAGAAGAAAAATATTTAGTTTTCCCTGGGTCTTTATTTTAGAAGCCTATCTTGTCATATCATATTTATATCCTTTTGTCTTGTTAGTCTGTCTTTTGTCATAGGGGTCTCAGTCATGAACTTTGTGATGGGCAAAGAAAAGATATTACTTTTTCTCCCCTACATTGGACTAGGGGTGTATAATCTAATGGTAATAAACTGGAGGGAATTTAGCTAGACTAATTTGTTCAGATTCTTCTTGGCATCTCTTTGTCTTCAAAGGTAAGGATGTTTCTTTCCTCTGGGAAAGGATACTTCTGGAATGAGGGTCTTACGAACTGCTTCAAGGCAGAAAGATGGGGAAAGGTGTGAGAGTGAACTTCCTGATCCTGCTGTTTTCTCAAATGGCAAGAATCCATATTTTGGGGTAGCATGCCCTCAACCTCACATGCTGCTTTCCAAGCACTGTGTATAGAACTGAAAGACTGATGAATGCTGAGATTAAGATCCACATTACCACTTTGCAACATGTCTACAGAAACTTAGTAAAACTTTTGTGGCAGCTTAAGGAAGGCGTGGAAGCTCATTTATGTACTCTCCTTGAGCTCTCTTCTGTTTTGATAGGTAGTTAGACGGTGAGAACTGCAGAACCCTTATCATATAACAACTCCGCTCAAATCTCTGCACTAGAGACTCAGCAAGCTCCAGCGTGCCTTCTAGTAGCTTAAGGCAAGGTCCATAGGATGACGCAGCCCTACTTAAAATGCCAGCCTGAGGAAGCCCAATGCTGCTAGGAGGATTTACTTTTTGTTCCAGTCAAAACTTGGTAACAGATAGGCTCCTGAATTCCTGTTAGAGCAGTTACTTTAGAAATGTTACAGTTAGCCGGGCGCGGTGGCTCAAGCCTGTAATCCCAGCACTTTGGGAGGCCGAGGCGGGTGGATCACGAGGTCAAGAGATCGAGACCATCCTGGTCAACATGGTGAAACCCCGTCTCTACTAAAAATACAAAAAATTAGCTGGGCATGGTGGCGCCTGCCTGTAATCCCAGCTACTCAGGAGGCTGAGGCAGGAGAATTGCCTGAACCCAGGAGGCGGAGGTTGTGGTGAGCCGAGTTCGCGCCATTGCACTCCAGCCTGGGTAACAAGAGCGAAACTCCGTCTCAAAAAAAAAAAAAAAAAAAAAAAAAAAAAAAAAAAAAAAAAAAAAAAAAAAATGTTACAGTTAAACTTTCTCTGCCCTTTGAGAAGCAAATCTACCACACAGAACTGTTTCTTCAAGGACCTGGGAGCTGTTTCTTTGACATGCAAACATTCAGGGAGCTAAATCTTGCTCTTTCTTTTAGTTAGAGTATAAAGACCAACCTAGCTGGGTGCTTCACTTCAACTTGCGCCCATGCCCATCTGTCATATAGATAGGCAAAGTTTCTCTCTCCTCTGGCTAAGGGCCAATTAACAAATCCTGATGGTCTAGTCACATTAACCTCCTTAACACCACTCAATATATTTTCCTTAGCACACTCCATACTTTAAAACGTTACCAGCTTTACTTTTGGGGAAGTTGAGCTCAGTTCATGCTGCACTCTTTCCTGTTGCAACGGTAGTGCTGAATAAAACCTGTCCTCACCACATTAACTAGTATTCAGGTTTGTTGATCTTTGACAACACTCAGATGTCTCCTGCACTCTACGGGCTTCAGGGTCTGGTAAATGAGTTGGTCACTTCAGTTTCCAGCAATGTTAGGTGTTTTCTGTATTTCCTTGACTTGATCATTACTATGGAAATGGGAAGAGAGGGGAAAAAAATCAAACATTCAGCGTACTAGCATAATATTTCAGTCCCAACGCCTTCCATAAGCTGTTCCTTGCAATATGAGTGTATGGGATGATGAAAGAGGCATGTAGCTTAATGAAAAGACCATGAGTTGTTTTTTTGTTGTTTGTTTGTTTTTGAGACGGAGTTTCACTCTTGTTACCAAGGCTGGAGTGCCATGGCGCGATCCTGGCTCACCGAAACCTCCGCCTTCTGGGTTCAGGCAATTCTCCTGCCTCAGCCTCCTGAGTAGCTGGGATTACAGGCGTGCACCACCATGCCCAACTGATTTTTTGCATGTTTAATAGAGACGGGGTTTCACCATGTTGACCATGATGGTCTCGATCTACTGACCTCGTGATCCACCCGCCTTGGCCTCCCAAAGTGCTGGGATTACAGGCGTGAGCCACCGCGCCTGGCTAAGACCATGAGTTTTGCAGCAAGAGTCAGCTTTAGTTTGATTCCTTGCTCTAAATTTTTTAAATTAGCTTCTTAAACCTGAGAAGGAGACTAAATTTTCTGTCTCATTTTTGAATCTGAAAACAGAAATAATAATCCCTATTAAATAGACTTGGAAAAGTGAGATTGAACAAGAAAATAGAAATAATAATCCCTACTATATGGACTTGAAAAAGTGAGATTGAACAAAACATGTGCAACATGTGGTACCTAGCTCATAGTAATTGTTCAATAAATAAATGTTGTTTTCTATTATCAATATCTGATCATTCCCAGAGGTTTGTTTTCTCTGTCTGTTGTTAGAATAATGCACCCTCTCATGCCAGCCCTCATTTACCTATCTACATATTTCGTCTATTAGGGAATGAGTTTCTTTATAGTTATCATTTTTCTTTGTATTCTAAGCTCCTGTTCATTGAAAAGGTGAGCATTCAGTATCTGTTTACATTATTTTAAAAATACATGAATAAATACATGAACAAAGTTACAACAAAGTTGTGGTAAATGCAGGGGACCAAAACGGTAGTCGTTTGCATAGGTTAAATTAATTACTGATGTCAGATTCAGTTGTGAGAGTAATGAAGGCGGAGTCACATTAATTTATGCGTTTTTCTTACCTTGGTTTTGAAACAAAGGCTTATCTGCTATGCTGCCTTTGAGTTTTCCTGAGTCAGCCGTCTCAGAAACAGGACCTAAAGGTACAAATGAAAAATTACCACAGCATAGTTTCACTTCCTGCTGTTGAATATCTGGTTGAACGACTTAAGCTTAATTTGTTAAACTCCAATAAGTGCCTGTCCCACATGGTTTGACTCAGAGATTCTCTTTCGTCCACAGGCAATCGTCTCAGGAGCAGAAAGAAAAGAGCTCCCAAATGCTGTGGCTATTCAGGGACTCTCAAGAACAATGGAATATCCTGATTTAGAAAATTTGGATGAAGACGGATATACTCAATTACGCTTCAGCTCTCGAAACAATACCAGGATATCCGTTGTTTCAGAGAAAGGTATATACATATATATGTGTGTGTGTGTATATATATATATATATATTTTTTTTTTTTCTCTAACATATGGCTTTAGCTCTTCCATTCAAAAAGGTATAAAAGAAGAAAATTCGAGAGGCTCATGATCTGTAGAACTTTATGGATATATTTTTAAAGGGCTTTAAATATCACTGAAGACAATTTGAATACACCCTAAACCTTTTTTCATGAAAATTATTCTGTGACCAATTATTAATATTTAAATTAATTATGTCTGATGGCAGAAAATAGTTTCTCTTTTCTATAGACACTTCACAGTGAGAAATTGGTAATAAGTGGGATAATACACAAAGATGAAGGATTTCTATATGAGTGACTTGTTTGATAGAAAGGATAGATTATAGAATGGAGGCCAGGAAACTTAAAGAAGTAAATATAAATAACTTTTTTTTGTGGTAAGAGATTAATCTGGATGATTTTTAAACAAAAAAAGAGTTATTGATATGCCAGTGAAGGAAAATAGATTAATATATGGTAGATAAAAACCTCCATCTCCAGGAGTATTTTCTCAAAATACAAAAACAACAAAAAACAAAACAAAAACTCCCATCGGTAGGACATGAATCTTAAACAAAATGTAAATGAAATGAAATAGAAAGAAGGGCATTGGAGGATCTCTGTATTCATAGAATGAGTGATTTAGTCTACTCTTATGATTCTCCTATGTGACAATTCCATGAAATGTTCTTACAGCTTAGTCTCAGTGGAAAGTAGAAACATATTCTGGTTATGGCAATGTTAATACAAATTTAATTCCCTATTATCTGTAAGAGGGAGCTCATTTGTCAGTTTTGACACCAGAGTTTGCTTTCTTCTGCTTTCTTGTTATTCACATTGCGCAATTATTTTCCTCTCAGCACTGATGTAATTCTTTTCTTGGGAAACCTATTGAGGAAGGATAGAAAAATCACATGAGGCAAGGGGTAGGGAGACATGTGAGTGTTGATGCAAATGTGTAGGCTGACAGTATTCGGTAACAACACACCTATAATGTCCTAGCAGTCTCAAAACAAGGTACTTTTATATGTGTTAGCTTTTTAAATTCCCACAATAATCCTTTGAGATACTACTCCAATTTCACAAAGAGGAATAAAAAACAACGAAGGGAGTAATTTGCCCTGGGTCATGCAACAAACATACAAAAAGGGAAAATTACCCTCAGTAATCAGTGCTATCTCCCCAGCATCAAGCTATTTCCTCTAAGAAGCAGCAGGATTTCAGGGATCTAATGTCAAGACCTGTAGGTATCAATGTGGAGCTGGGATTAGGAGCATACAGATATCAAGGCAATGTGCTGAAATTACAGTTCTAGCAGTTGAAGAAGAAGTATCCTTACAGGTGGAGAAAATCACAGCTAATCCTAGATGATGAGGTAATCTAGGCAGTGATTAATAATTCACTTTCAAATTTGCCAGTTTTTGTTGTTGTTGTTGTTTTGCATTTTTTTGTGGTTGTTTTTTGTTTGTTTGTTTGTTTGTTTTTTCAGCATATCCGTCTGTTGCCCAGGCTGCTCTGGAATTCCTGGGCTCAAGTGATCCTTCTGCCACAGCATCCAGAATAGCTGGGACTGCAGGAGCTCACCATCATGCCCAGCTAATTAATTAATTTTTTTTTTTTTTTTTTTTTTTTTTGGTAGGAACAGGGTCTCCCTGTGTTGCCCGGGCTGGTCTTGAGCTTCTGGCCTCAAGCAATCCTCCTATCTCAGTATCCCTTCTGGGATTGCAGGTGTGAGCCACTGCGCCTGGCCAGATTTTTGAGGAACTGTAGAATTAAAGTGCCCCACCATCCATTATTCTCCTTCTTTATTCCACTTCTGCCCTCTCTGGCTCCTCAGGATCTTGTGCTTCATCTCTTCCTTGGCGTCTCATTGCTGTGATTTTGGGAATCCTCTGCTTGGTAATACTGGTGACAGCTGTGGTCCTGGGTACCACGGGTGAGTATTTGGTGAGGGAGATTAACAACAACAACAACAACAGACAATTCAGTAAGCAATTATTATGTGCCAGGCACTCTTTTAAGGGCTTGACATGCATAATCTACTTTAATTTGTATATAATCTAGTTTTATCTGTATTGAGTTGGTACTATGAATGCCCATTCCCTTAGGTGTGAGAAATTGAGAGGTTATTTTGCCTTTCCAGGGTTATAAGCTGGTTAGTGGTGGGACCGTGATTAGAAATTTAAGTGATCTGTCTAAAAAACTCATAGCTGTGGAATTTAAAAGATAAATTAATGGAAGGAAATACATGGAGCTGAAGAAGGAAGTACAATAAGATGCTGTCTTCCTAATGAAATAAATTCACTAGAGGGACGTTAAGCTATTTCTAGGAGGGTCATTATTTAAGGAAATTATTTCTGATCTGTAATATAAGCACCTTTGAATATACCAGAAATGGCTGAGGTACTTGGTCCTAAGTTGGTATTTTGTAATGGATGACTATCTTTTTTTCTTTTTTCTTTTCTTTTCTTTTCTTTTTTGAGATCGAGTCTCACTCTTGTTGCCCAGGCTGGAGTACAGTAGCCCCATCTCGCTCACTGCAGCCTCCTCCTGGGTTCAAGTGATTCTCCTGTCTCAGTACCCGAGCAGCTGGGACTAAAGGCGCCCGCCACTACAACTGCCTAATTTTGTATTTTTGGTAGAGACAGGGTTTCACCTGTATTGTTCAGGCTGATCCATCAGGTGACCTGACCTCAGGTGATCCATCCACCTTGGCCTCCCAAAGTGCTGGGATTACAGGCCATAAGCCACCACACCTGGCTAGGATGAATATCTTTTTTCAGATTTTATATCACATGCTATCTGTTATCAAGCGCCTTCAGAGAATCTTCATGACATTCCTTAATTAGCCAAATGTTTATTGAGTGCATTCTATGTTATAGGTACTGGGCAGTTTCTCAAGGATCTCTCATTTTTAAATAATAGAAGAAAGGTGAAAGACGTTGCTATTTCCAATCTGTCATGGCTCCCGTTGACTGTATGACATTTGCCTCTTGCTGCCTTCCTCATTCTATTTCTTCTTCTCTACCTTCCTTTTTCTTTTTTTCGCTATACCTCCTCTATAAAAGTTATTTTTTTTGTCTATTCTATCAATCAATCGTCTTTACCTCTCCACAGCAATATATCATCTATTTATCATTAATCAATAATGTATCCTTTTTATTCCAATATCATATGGGTTTTGGGATTTTAATTTTCAAACATAGTAGAATGACATTTTCCTGTCACTGTTATTGTTGTTGGTATATGAAGCTACTTGGAGATCCAATTCAGGAAGCAATCCATTGAAGAATGGCAACTTTCCGTCAAGGAACAAAGAGAACCACAGTCAACCCCCACAATCATCTTTGGAAGAGAGTGTGACTCCTACCAAAGCTATCAAAACCACAGGCAAGGGCATAGTTAAAGGATCAAATCTTGATTCAAGAGGGTTAATTCTTGGTGCTGAGGCCAGGGGCAGGGGTGTAAAGAAAATATGCTTAGATCCAATGATTGTACATTAAAGGCAAGCACACATATCAGTATTATCTTAGTGTAATGTATCCCTGTCATATATACAATAAAGTGAAATTGCAAGTACCCTATGCACTTGGCTGAACAGTTCTAAATTGGACTTTAATAATTTTTAAAATCAGTAACTGATTTATCACTGGCTATGTGTTTAGATCTACGGGAGATCATATAATTTGATACAAAGAAAAGTGTTTTCTCTCCTTACAGAATTGACATTTTTAAAGCGATGCAGTTAGAATAGAAAATATGACATTAGGCCGGGCGCGGTGGCTCAAGTCTGTAATCCCAGCACTTTGGGAGGCCGAGGCGGGTGGATCACGAGGTTGAGAGATCGAGACCATCCTGGTCAACAAGGTGAAACCCCGTCTCTACTAAAAATACAAAAAATTAGCTGGGCATGGTGGTGTGTGCCTGCAATCCCAGCTACTCAGGAGGCTGAGGCAGGAGAATTGCTTGAACCCAGGAGGCGGAGGTTGTGGTGAGCCGAGATGGCGCCATTGCACTCCAGCCTGGGTAACAAGAGTGAAACTCCGTCTCAAAAAAAAAAAAAAAAAGAAAATATGACATTAGAAAGGAAGAATGACAGTGAAAGAAAAGAAATAAGGGAAAATGTTGCCAAGAATAAAGAAGCTAAATTAAAAATACACAAAAGAGGTAGACCTAATACACATGTTCTTGAAAACTCATCAAATTTGTTTAATCATACAATTTCATTTACTTAATTACAATTCTATATACACTTGACCTTTACTTCTAATTGCATCATAATTGACTGTGACTTAATATTTGCATTTTAATTTTTCATGTCTGGACCCATACCTCCTCAACATTTTTATTAAGTAGTTAATAATAAATAACAGAGATACTGTGTAATATGCATAGTTGAACTATACTTTTCTCATTTGGAAAGTCACATTCTGAAGTAGATCTTACATCATAAAATAAATTAAGTAGCAAGGTGAAATTGTCTTACCTCAGTGATTCATTGTGAGTGGACTTATTTTAAGTAGTTATTAAAGAGAAAGGTAGTTTTGAGCTGAATCTGAAGAAATCAAACTCAAGAAAAAAGGATGGTTGGCTGCCTAAAATACTATTCGTAGTTAATTTATTTTTAAATTTTAAATGAATAGGAAGATTTTAATGTATTCTCATTGGTAAAATCATATC